TGCCTCCTGAGCCCACTGTCAGACACTGTTCCTAGGCCAAGCCTCCATCTCCTCTATAAACAAAGTGAGGGTGACAAAGACAGCCTCCTGGGACATGGGAGGGGCACCACGGGGAAGTGCTTAGGAAATGGGAGTGGGAAGTCCCAGATAAAGTCCAAATGATAGTAGCCAGAGCCCCCAGTGATGAGAGATTAATTATTTTTTCTGCGGATGAGGGACTGCTTTCAGGGAGTAGGAGATGAAATGACAACCCCAATGATGAAGGAGAGGGAGAGGGAGAAAGTCTTCCTCTCCCCACACACTCTGGAGCCCAACTCAATCTAATGCAAAGCAGTTTGGGATGCTGGAGGTGCTCTGTCAGTTACTGGAGGTGACATGGTACGGTCTGGGGGACCAAGCCACTGACTGGCTCTGGCAGAGGCTCCTTGGCTCTCTTCCCATCTGTAGGAGCAGCTCCCAAGCTGGAAGAGTAAGATGTGATACTTTAGGAGGGAACGTTGAGCCTCCATGCTACCCCCAGATCTCCCCTCTCCCTTTCCTGCAGACACTTATGCCAAGAGGACTGGTGAATTGGCACTGGGATGGTCATGTCTCCCAGGAACTGGAGAGCTGAATATTTATCAGTCAGATTGCAGTGGGCTCAGGGCGTTCTGAACTCCAAAAGAACTTCCAGGACTTTCATTTTTTTTCCCAAATGATTTAGGCATCCATGTGCTGTGGCCCTCTCTGGCCCAATGTCTACATTTGTAGTGTTTTTCCTTGCTCATATAGTGTTTCATAGAGGCAGGTTTGGTAAAATGTATTTCCGTTCCGATAAAACACATTAAAATATATTTCCTTTCTAAATAAGTTGGTGCCTGTTTTGAATTAATCGCCGTGATGCACAGTAATTAGGTGTATGTGAATCCACCAGACGGTTCTTCCTTTGGGAGGGATGTGCTAATTCCATGTCGCACTATACAATGTCATAACTGTAGAGTGCGCCGGAAAATTTTTCCCAAAAATCACTTCCACTTTCTAAAATGTAATTCAAGATTATTCTCCTTAAATTCTCTAGAAGTTGTGGTAGCAGTTCAGAAAACTTGTGCATGCACAACTAGAGAACTCACTGACTTCCCCAGAATCCGGGCAGAAGCCAAGTAAAACAAGTACGTGGGCCTTTCAGTCACTGTCTTGGCATTGCGGATTTGGACAGATAATAGTTACCTCCGAGGATGAGAATCCAGCTTCAAAGCCTGCTTTGCTAGCTTTGGTACAGGGATTCATGAAATATTTTTCAGAGACTCTTGCTCTCCAGATCTCTCTCTGTCTCTTTCTGGTGTCTCTGTCTCCTTCCCTCCTTCCCTCCCTCCTTCTTCCCTCCTCCTCCTCCTCCTCTCCCTTCTCACCCTCCTATTTCCTCCCTCTCCCTCTATCTCCCTCCATCTCTCTCTCTCTCCCTCTGTCTCTCTCTTCTCTCTATCCACTCCTCATGGTTCCAACTGATTTATATTTAGTAATCACTATTTCTATATGCGGAGATCACAACTTCCTTTCTTTGCCTTCTCTATGTTCCATCCTGAAAAGATTTTATAACTAATAAAGGATTTCTTTTCCCACTTGCTCCAGTCACCACCTCCTTCCATCTGGAGAATCCATATCATGCTGTGTGTAAGTACCTAGACTTATTGCTCCACGGAGGCAGGCAGACCTTAATGATTCCACCTGACTTGTCTTTGCAAAGTTTACTAGAATAAAACAAGAGAACTTATCACTTCGGGTAAAAATGGGCAGGCTGTATTTTCAGGTGTAGGGCTCAAAATTAGGCGTTGTACTTTCCCAGTAATCAATCACAGAACTATTTGGGTGAACAAACTACTAAAAAAAGAAAAAAAGCTTTTAGATCTTTCCTTAACTAATTAAGGGACTAGCCTCAACACCCACACATCTGAACTGTATCTGTAATTCAGTCTGTTTTTCTAAACCTGTGGTTGTTAAAGTGTGGTCCCTGGACCAACATCATCAGCATCACCTGCGGATTTATTAGGACTAGAACCTTTTGAGCCCTTCCCCAGACAGAGTAAAAAACGGGGAGGGGGGTGGGGGTGGGGGTGGGGGTGGGTGGCGGGCAGCAGTCTGTTTATAAAGCCCTTCAAGTTATTCTGATTCAGAGTGAAGACTGTCATTGTACCTGTGTCTGCAGTGTTGATGGAAGTTCTTATATGCGATGTCGGCTTTAAAAGAAGTGAAATGGGGGCAGCCTGGTTGGCTCAGTACTAGAGCATGGGACTCGATACCAGAATCATGAGTTCAAGCCCCACATTGGGCATAGAGCTTACTTTAAAAAAGAAAGATGTGAAATGAACCTAAATCAGAAAGCATAGATTGAACCCTTGATAGTCATGACCTACTACACATCTGTAAATAGGATCAACACCTCCACATTATAGGGATATGGAAAAGCACCATAAAATGGGTCAAGCTCTTACACAGCTCGAAACAACCATGAATTACTGCGTGCCGGTGTCTACTTGCACCACTAGGGGGCGCGCTAGCATTTCCAAAGCCGTCACCCCAAGAGACTCAGCGTTTTTGTCTTTGAGGTCCTGTCATTCTCTGTATAAACAAGTTACGTTCAAGTGTTTAGGATATAAATTACGACCATGCCGGCTGCTTCGGAAGGAATGTAAACACAGCACTGTGGTCGGAGCAAACTCTGAAACTGACTTCATAATTTATAGCAGGCCCTTGTGTAGCTCAGAATAAAAGGGAAAAAAAGCCCTATTTAACTGCAAATATGATAATGGAGACACAAAAAACATGTTTAAATCATTGCTTAATTTTGGAAAATATAGAAAGGAAACCTAAGGATTAGGAAGATGGTTCAGACTTTTGAAAACAAGATGTTTTACTAATGATACTGTTTTTGGATTTAAATTCACTTGGAATACAAAAACCTTCTGTGTGAGATATCTACTGAGTGGTATTAAGTGCCTGGCAACTGATGGGGCGGTGGGGAGACCTTTTAGGGAATGAGAAACAAAGGTGAGTTTTCAAAAGCAAAAGCAAAAACAAACAAACAACCCCAAAATACCAGCCCTCACTTGGGAAAGAAAACCCGCAGCTTGATCATGGTTTGAGAACCTTCCTGTTTCTGCTCAGATCTACTGTTGCCAAGGTTGCCCATGATTTTGAAGGATTGGTCAGAGGAGGGCTGGTTAAAAAAAAAAAAAGAAAGAAAGAAAAAAGAAAAAAAGAAAGAAAGGAAGGAAGGAAGAAAAAGAAGGAGGAGGAGGAGGAGAAGAAGAAGGAGGAGGAGGAAAGGAAAGGGGAGAAAAAAAAAAAAAAAACAGTCCTGCTGCCTGGTTGGCTTATTTTCTCTCTTTTGAACTTAGAGCTTTACCAGAGCTGCCTGTAGCATTTGAGACTGGGGACGCTCCAGATATCAAGCAAGGAAAAGGGGCTCTGAGAGAATCCCTGAAGGAGATTACTTGTTCAAAGGAAGGAAGGAGCAAAGGGGACAAAGGAGGTTGGACAGAGATGGGTGGGGGTTGAGAGTGCTCCTGCTAAGTAGGGTTGGTCAGGCTCTGAATTTGGGGTGGTGGGGACAGACAGCAGCCACAGAATACCTTATGAGGATGAGTACCTGCTTCTGTTACTCTCCAAGGAAATTAAAAGATCCAAATGGTCAAAGACTGCCCATTACTGCTCCACCGCCATCTCCCTCTGGACTATTTAGGATCTGACCACCACCCACAACAAAATGTGATCAGTACTCCCACCAAACTGTGAGTTGCAAAGGGGAAGCTGGTCCTGTTCTTTGAACACCTTGATCGCCACTCAGCTGAGCCCTAGGTGGTGACTTTCTACTCTGCCCGTTATTCCCTGCCCTCATTCCCTGCTGGTGGAAAAGAGGAAGGAGCAAAAGGCAAAACTCTCCCTGGCTACAGGAAAGAGAACAAAAGGGGCACAAAACTTGGTTTCCTCAAGTCAGACTCTTGCCTTCATTATCTTGCCTGGTTTTCTTTTAAGTTCTTTTCACCTTCTGGTTTTTGTTTAGCCAGAAGGAGCTAGGGTGAAGGAAAAAAAGATCAGAAAAAGTTCCTTCATCTCTTTCTCTCCTGAGAAGACCCACAATCAGAACCTGGCCTGTGTTACTCAAGGCACAGACCCCACACCACGTCAATTATACAACTTGAGGGAAAAAAAAACCCAACAGTGTAGAGTTGCATTGCTGGCTGGTAGAGAAGAGAGCCTGGTGATCCCAGGATGCCCGTGGAGGAAATAGGTCTCTAAAACAGCTATTTGTTATATATATTTTATTGAAAAAATTTTACATCAAAATAGTTTGGCAAACTGTAAAAGTATACATAAGTGCAAATATATCCTCCTTTTAAAATACAAGCAAAGTGTGAGTATACACGAAAATCATAAAAATATCTTCAAAATATGGTGGTAGAAAACAACCTTGTAAAAAAACGTTGTATTGTCACAATACTGAAAACCACTTTCTTAAACTAGACACATTGTTTCTAAATACTTTCTTAATAATGTTCTTTGGCACCTGTATCCAAACTTAGTGTTTGGCGGAACAGAACTCTCTTTTGGCTAGGCAACAAGATGAGGCTTTCTTGAAGTCTTGTGCTTAGCACTGCCTTTTTGAAAAGCACAAAAATTTTCATAGACAAAGAAAAACACACACACACAACTTGCGTTTTTCAGACCCTGATGACTGAAGGTAATGAAGATCCCAGAGTTACAGGTTTATGTTTTTCATGTGGTAACTTTTTATCATCTCCGCTAAAAAGCTGAGTTCTCCATTGGTTCTCTCCCTCGGGGGGATCCTGCATATATTCGTATTAGGGTATTGCCAGGGTTGTCCTTCTACCAATGGTAGACAAGTATCAGTGAACAGCGCTGGCCTGGGGATTCTGGCTAAGTGACTGGTGTGCTACTTACTGCTAGCGCCGTGCATAGTGGAGGAGTCCACCTCAGTTCATTCTGCCCTGCAGAAGAGAGAGCAGAGAGCGGCCTGGGCATGGCCTCCTTCCCTCCATTCACATGACGCAGGGCTTAATATCCTGGCAGACACTCTGGTGGTGGTGATGGTGATAATATGGTCCGCTTGCAGAGGGATGGAAAGAAGAAATGCCATTAAAGTTGAGGACAAAATCCTTTCTGTCACACACTGGGGTAGAGTGATGCTGGTATCGAGGCAGTCCCACTGAAAGAAGAAAGGAAAAGCTCTTCAGAAACAGTCACTCAGCTGAGGATGAGGCATGTTACTTTTTTTAATTTATTTTTTTTTACGATGAGGCATATTACTTTTTTTTTTTAAAGATTTTATTTATTTATTTGTCAGAGAGAGAGAGAGAGGGAGAGAGAGCAAGCACAGGCAGACAGAATGGCAGGCAGAGGCAGAGGGAGAAGCAGGCTCCCTGATGAGCAAGGAGCCCGATGTGGGACTCGATCCCAGGACGCCGGGATCATGACCTGAGCCGAAGGCAGCTGCTTAACCAACTGAGCCCCCCAGGCGTCCCAAGGCATATTACTTTTTAAATTTAAATTTAACTCACGCCTTATTTTGACTCAGGGTAAGAAAGGGGTTGATGTGCCTTTTGTCTATCGTTAGAAAACGGGTAGAGCAAACCCACCTCTAGAAGTTTCTCAAAGTTTCAAACTGGGTCATAGGAGGTCTGTGAAATCACTATGTTTTGTTTTGATGTACCCGCACACACAGAGCACGATCCTCCTCTAAACCGGCTTCTCGTGCGCCCGAATTCCCCTTTTATTCCCGGACCCTCAGGAACGCTTTAATCGCGGAGGGTGCAACCGCGCGGGGACTGTTGAACCACACTCTCTGTAGGGTTCCCTAAGCGCTGGTCTCCCGGCCCTTGATGCCAGAGCCTGGCTGCAGAGGCCAAGCGCCCTCCACAGAAACACCGCTGTCGCTCTCACGTCTTCTTCTGAGCCTCCTGCCTGTTTCTCAATTAACTGTCCCAGTCAGAATAGCAGGTCACAATAGAGATATTTATTGTGCCAAGAAGAGATGAGAGAAAACAATCCCTTTGCAAGACAAAGGGCCTGGAAAGAAAGTACAGGTCGTCCTAAGTTCGGAAAGTCTCAGGCTTCCCTTAGAGAAGCCTTTCTCCAGGGAGCAGATAATGCTCTTCGATAAACGCTCAGCTGCAGACCCTTCTGCACATCGAGGTGTCAGGCAGCGCGGGGAGCCCCTTAGAAAATCCGGGATGGCAGAGGGCGAAGAAGGCTCTCTCTCCTCTCCTCTCCTCCCGGGCCGCCGCTCTGCGGGGGCCCAGAGCCCGGCCGCAACCCGCTGCCGACTTTTGCTTTTGCTTTCTCAGCGCCTCCCGGCCCCGGGGCGCAACTGGCCAGCGGCGTCCCGAGCGCGCCGCGGCCGGGTCTTCTCCCGGACAGAGTTTCTTTCCGCGCTGGGCTGGGTGAGGCCTCTTCGCCTGCGTCTTTTCTGGGTACCCGCGCCTTGTTCGACCATAAATTGCATATTGGGGGCCAGGCCAGATTCGAATTTTGAGTGCGTGAAAACCGTACTCGCCCGCCCGCGGCGCTCGCGCCCAGCTCTCACCGCCTTGGCCTGGCAGCATCCCAGGGCTGCGAGCGGTCGCTGACTTGAGCCACGTTTGTTGCCTTGTAGGACCTACTGTCGCCAAGGGCGCGCCGCATTGATCTCAGAAGGTAGCAACACTTCCACGCGGCCCCGGTGTGTGCTTGTTGCTCTGCATACAGGTGCCTTCGCCCATCGTGTTATAGCACTTCTCAGTGCCAGTTCTATGAGCTCAAAATAGCGGGCCCAGGCAGGACCCAGAGCTCTGGGTTACGACCGACTGAAGGCCGCCGCCAGCTCTTTGATGTGACCAGAGAGAGATAAAAGCCCCCGCTCCTTCTTGAAAGACTCACTGTAATAAATGACCGATGCGGGGCCTCCCTGAGCACGCGGACCTTGGAAGCCCTATCCCAAGTTGGACTGCGCTGCCCGCGGGGGTGTGTTGTGTGCGTGTGTGCGTGCGTGTATGCTGCGGGGAAACTTCTTGGACCACCAGCCCCTCGGTCTGCTCCGCCTCCCAGCTCCTCGCTGGGCCATAGTCCCTCGTTGGGCCGCGGTCCACCAGTGGCGCACTCCTTAACAGGCCCCGCCAGGCCCGCTCACCCAGCCTGCTACTGCTGAGCCCCCACTTCTCCTCCGCCTGGGGGATGCCAACTAGGACGGGGGAAGAGAGGGACGGGAGCCAGAGGACGAGGGAAGAAGGGGCAGAGCGTCCGGGTCGGGCCTTGGCCCCAATGACGGCCTCCCCAGGATTCCCAGGCTCTGCCCATAGGTCGTGCGAGGCTCCCCTGCAAGGCCGCTGCGGGAGGCCGGCCTGCTCCAGCTCTGCCGTTTTCGTTTTCCAAGTTTGTGTTTCCGGGTCCCGAATTTCTGGGACTTGTGCGTGAGCTTGGGTGTGTTGGGTAGGGAGAGGGCGGCCTCAAAGAACAATCATAAGTCTCTTTCTTTCTTGCGAGTTCTTTTGTTTTTAATTTTTCGGGTACTGTTTCAGGGCAGCTGGAAAACCTCGAAGTCTGGGTTCAAACTGAGTAGAGCCTGCTTGGAGAAGGGGAATGGGGAACACTAGGAGGGCAGAGGGCAGCGGGCTGGGCGGGGAGAGGAGTGGTGGGCAGGAGAGTGGGGGAGTGGGCGCTGCCTGGGGTGATTGACAGCCAGTCCCAGGGGATTAAAAAAAAAAAATGAAGAGGGAAAGGTCGGCTGTATTGGTTACTTGTTGAAATTCCCATAAAAATTGAACAAGACTCTGCTCTCAGTGGGTTAAGTCAGGCTAAAATCCTCTCCCGTGTGGTCCTGCCGAGACTGTCTTTGTTTAGTTAACCTCTGAGACCCGCATTTAAAAGGCCTATTTGGGAAATTTCACCGTCCAGGGAACCAACATCTTTTGCCCATTTCTGGGCTTCCCCGTCTCCCCTGCAGCTCATGTCACACGCTGATTCCCGAACATATATCGTGTGCATCATCCTCTGAGGCTTTTTCTAATTGGGGTGAAAGGTGGGTGTGAACTAAAACACCATTTGATAGGCAGATCAGCCTGATTTTAAGCCTGTGGGTGCTTCAGAGAGGTTAATATGACAGAATTTATCTCCACTGTCTGAGAAACCTGGTTAAATATTCAAATTCCCTCCTCCACCCCATCTATTCCCTCCCACCTTTCATCGCCTTCGGCAAGTCAATAAATTTTCATAATCTTCAACAAACAAAATTTACACCAGCAACACAACTGAAGTCCAAGAGGCAAGCATTTCTCAGGGGAATCACAACGTGGGCCTCAGGTCCTCCTGGCCTAGGACAGACTCATGTCATCAATGTAGGTCCACTGTGTTGGGAAGCAAGGGACTCCTCACAGGCTGGTGCCCCTCTCCATTAGTAACACCTCCCTCCTGTGAACAATCCTGGGTCCCCCCTCTGCCTTCTTCCCTGACCCTCCCTCATTTCCCCTCCCCTCAACTCTGGCCCAGTTGCAACCCCTCTCCACCCACACCCTCAGCACACAAAACATGTCCCTTTCTAACGTCTACTTTGGGAGGAAAGCAACAGCAAACAAACTAAACACACTTGCGTGTGCCAGCGTGCGCGCACACACACACACACACACACACACACACACACACGGAAGCAGACACAGCTCCTTGGCCAGGCTCCCCAAAGACCACATGCCTTCTCTCTAAACTAAGTTGGGCCTGAGATTTGAGACCTGCCGTCCATACGGACAACTTGGGACCCCAGGAAGTCAGGCGACTTTGCACCATCCTCCTGGCAGTGCAAATTCTGGAGGCCCAGCTCTTGGCCAAGGGTATGAGAGAGGGCAGTATGACCTCAATCCTCTCCCCTCCATGAATAAGGTTCCCTCTTCTCCCAGCACCCACTCCTCCCCGTGCCTTCAGACTCCCTGGCTGCGGCGACCCTGTGGAAGTTGCAGTAGCCGTGGAGCCTGGAAACCTAGAGGCGCGCACTGCGTTACCTGAGAGGTCCTCGCGGGCGTTCTGGTGCAGGTAGCTCTGCTCCAGCGAATAGGAGGACATGCTCGAATGCAGGCCTGCCGAGGCTGCGGGGTTGCTGCTTGGCGTCAGGGAGGGCGGCTGCTTGAGGTAAGGCGAGGCGCCGGGCGAGCTCCAGTGCGCCGCGGGGCTCGTGTAGGGAGAGTGGCACTCGATGGCGCTCGCCATGGCTGGGGATGAGGGCACTGGGCTGCTGCTGCTGTCCGGGCCGTAATCCCCTCCGCCGCCGCCCCCAGCAGCGCCGACACCCCCAGGCCCGGCGGGCACGGGGCAACTGGCCATGTAGGTGGATCCGGGGTTGGGCGACATGTGCGGGACGTGGTGGTGATGGTGGTGGTGCGGATGCGCGTGGCCCGGGGCGCCTGTGCTGGCGTCGTAGCCCGCAGGCATCATGTCGAGGCCTCCGTAGCCGCCCTGCCCGTGGCACCCAAGCGGCGCCGATGGGGGCGCCTGGAAGTCGAAGCCCTGTGGCAGCAGCGAGGCCCCGAAGCCCAAGCCACTCACTACGCGGTGGTACATGGGCTTGAGCGCCTGGCATTTCCGCCTGAAGCCGCGGGGCCGGCGGCGGAAAGAGCCCTCCTCGAACATGAACTCACTGGCCGGGTCGATGGTCCAGTAGTGACCCTTGCCGGGTCTCCCGAGGCCCTTGGGCAGCTTGATGAAACACTCGTTGAGCGAGAGGTTGTGGCGCACGGAGTTCTTCCAGCCCTGGTAGGCGCCGCGGAAGAAGGGGAAGCGCGCCTGCAGGAACTGGTAGATCTCGCTGAGCGTCAGGCGCTTGCTGGGCGAGCTCTGTATGGCCATGACGATGAGCGCGATGTACGAGTAAGGAGGCTTCTCTGGCCGCCGCAGCCCCGAGCTCGCCTTCTTGGCGCCCCCACTCCCGGCGCCCGCGCCACCGCCGCCGCCGCCCGTGCTCTTGCAGGCGGCAGAGGAGGCGCTGGCCGAGTTGGAGGAGGAGGAGGAGGAGGCACAGGAGGCTGAGGAAGACGATGAGGACGACGAGGTGGTCTCCAGGGCGGCGGCGGCGGGCGGCGGGCTCATCAAGGCGGCCTGGAGTGCGCCGGGGGCCGGGCTGCACGCGCGGCGGAGCGGGGCCGGCGGCGGGCGCGGCGGGGGCGGCGGCGGCCCGCCCTCGGTGGTCATCTGGGACCGGGGAGAGAGGCCTGGCCGCAGGGGCGGGCCCCCGGCCGGGAACGGAGGCGCCGGAACGGGGTCGGCCCAGAAGCCGGGCGAGCGCCCTAGTCCGCCGCCCGGGCTGCAGCGGTGGCCACTCCGAGCCAGCGCTTCGGCGTCGCCTCCCTCAGCTCCGCTGGGGCTTCTGGCGGCGGCGGCGGCAGCGGGCCGGAGGCAACGCCCGGCGCATCCCTCCCCTGAGCCTCTGGCCCCTGTCTTGCGCAATGGCCTACGGGCCCGTAGAACCAAAGCGGCCGGGTGCCGGGCAGCTGCGCCCGCGAGCTGGGACGACGGCAGGGACCCCGGGGACGAGCCCGACGTCTCCCTTCAGGAGCGCTCCTCGCTCTGTCTCTCAGACTTCCTCCCTCCCGTGCCCTCCCCCCGGCCGCTCTCCCTCCCTCCTTCGCTCCCTCCCTCCCTCCACCCCCACCCCGCCCTGCCCCCTCCACGCTCCGCGCCGCCTTGGGGAGGGCGCGCTTGGCCTCAGTGCTCACTCCTCCCCCCTCCCAACCTGGCGGCAGGCTCCGTCTCTTATCTCGCTCCTCTCTCTCCACGGTTCTCCTCGGCCTTTTAATTCCTCTCGACCACTTTTCCCCTCACCTACCCATCCTCTTTCAAACGGAGGGACCACAGAATCACATTTTGCTAGGTTGACTCCCATCCAGCAAAACTCGACCACCTATATAACTTTATAAGCTCTTCTTTCTCGTTCCCCTTACAGCACCCCTGCCTCCCATCTCAGAAACCAGCCACCCCCTTCGGAGAGGACCCACCCATTCTTTTCCTCTCCGCTATCCTCCTCCTTCTCCCTCTCTTCCTCCTACCCCCTACCCCCCCCATCCCCTCAATCCACCCCCACCCCGTCTCCGTCTCCCACCCCGTCTCCGTTTCCCACCCCATCTCCGTTCTCCTCCTCCTGGCTCATCCTGGGCCGAGTGGTGCTGCCGCTGGTGCTGGGGCTGCCGTCGCCGCCGGGAGCGTCCTTAGCTGCCTTCCCCGTGCCCGCACTGACACCATCTGTCAACTTCATTTAGACATTACAGCCCACAGCCACACGCCAGGGTGCCAAACGCCCAAAGGTAAAGTGCCAATCCTCTCTCTTTCTGACAGGGCTTGGAAGATCCGCAACAGTTGCTAGTAAAGGGCAAGAAGCCGAGGCGCTGCAAAGCACCCCTATCCCC